TGTTGAATCAATCCTGTGGCTGAAACAGAACCACAAAGATGGCACAGTGGCAGCCAGGGGCGCTAACGGCTAACAGTTGTGCAGCTTTACCCTCTTACTTACTTAGGTAACATCACTGAAAAACAATAAAAGACAGAAAACATAACATTGTTGACATAAAAGGCCCAAGCAGTTCAGTGGACCTACTAAGGCTACTTAAATTTGTAGGGAAAAAACCAAAACAAAGTAGCATTTGCTGCTAATCATATCAAGCACAAATTCTAAGTCAGGAGACACCAGTGATCTTTTTCAGCACCTGAACCAGCACCACCTGCTGGAGCAGCTGTTTGTAAAGACGTTCCAGACAAGAGTCAGTAATAAGCTTTTGTTCACATTTTGTTTTGCTGATAAACTATATAAGTGAGTGTCTACTAATGCTGTACTTATGTATTTTTTCATTTAGGGGCATCTAATATAAATTGAATTATTCAGCCTAAACCCGTCATTACTGCACCCTTTTTGGAGCATTTTTCATACAGGAAGTGTGGGTGGTGGATGACCCTGTAGGTGGGTGACTTACTCTTTAATAATTACAGAGAACATTAAAGATTTATTTGTTTTATATTGTGATACATTTAAATATCAACTGATATGAAAAACACTTCGTGACGGGATTTTTTATGGGAAACTCGTTTAATCATACATTTGCAGTGGTTGCTGGTAGGAATGAATGTTTTGCAAGTCATACTCTGGGCAAAAAAAGCCCAGAAACGCCTGCATCAGAACGGACAAGTCTGCTACATCAGAGGAGAGCTGATGATCCGAGCCCGAGTCGCTTGATTTTGAGTACGTGCTGATGCCGAGTCCCAATCAGTTACTTCAGCAATGCATTCGAATAAGAAAAAAATATGAGGACATCCAAGCAGTCCTTTGTGCTTTTTATTTTATTTATGAGTTTTGTTTTTTCTATTCATCTCAGTTCCTTAGCTTTTTGCTCTTATTTCAAATTGTTTAAACAGTATGTGGCTGTTAGGGATGTCACACTAACCAGTGTAGCGGCTAACCCCGGTAAAAATGTTGACAATAGTAATTACCGTCTTGTTTTTTAAAAATCTCGGTATCTCTGTGGATTACCGTAGCCGCGGTGACCTTACCAGCCACCATATCATCTGCTGAAGTTGCAGCACATGCGCACTTTGTTGTTAACAACCAAAACTTTCTTTAAGCTGAAATAATGGCAGAAGGGGGAAATGGCAGCACTCAGGACATCTATCAGCCCTTAAAGAAGACAAAGTTGGCAGAATGGGCACATTTGGGATGTTTGAAGAATGCAGAGGGACAGTTGATAGAAGACGGCTATCCTGTTTGCAGCACGTGCAGCAAAAAATGTCTGTGAAAGACAGCAACACTTCAAATCTCATGACGCATCTGCATGACCATCACCTACAACTCTACTGTCAATGCAAGGCAAATTAACGTTAGCATTGTAGCTAAAATGCGTGATGTGAGGACTTTGGGTTGAGGGAGAATGCAACGAGTTGCCCTATAGGGCAGCTGCGGTGCTCAACGCCAACAGATAAACCGTGTTGCTGATGCCCCATATTGAAATGACGCTATGCATTACTGGGCTCTCAGGGGCCAGATAAGAGCTGGTCACCAATGCAATAGATTGACTCTCACCGCATTATTATGAATTTAATGATGATTACTGGCTGATGACATTTTCCCAAATCTGCAAATCTCACTGGACAGACACAAACAGAGGGCATATATCTTGATATAGAGGGTTCTTTTTAGTTTCTGGCGCTATAATTAGTACATGTAATTCCCTCAAAACGACCAACAACACATCATGAAATAATAAATAGGAGTTGGAGATATAGATTTTTATTTTGTCCCAGTGAGGGAAACAATTTGGATGCCCCTGATCCATAGGCAGGCCTGGGTACAACAACTGTACTCAACTAAGAGCAGCACTACTTCAATACATTTTACTCAAGTAAAAGAAGCTGTCCAAGAAATTACTCAAGTAAGAGTAAAAAGTATTTGACTCAAAGGCTTCTTGAGTACTAAGTATCGTTTGATCTCATATTTTTTAAATGATTACATCAAACAACAAAAAATAAGAAGTTATGGGCACATTTTGGTATTTTAAAGACTAAAAGGGGAACATTTAAACAAATGATCAACATAATTACAAAAAAAACAATTTTAGGCTAAATTCAAACACAAACTGAGGACAACATTTTCATGATATAGAGGATTTATTTAATTGTTTGAAAATGTATTGTAATGTCCAGTAATGGTCAGTTTTTATGTGCAGTTAGACCCTTCAATATCTGGTCGACATGGAGACAGGAATCTTCAAGTGTTGCTTTTAATCTGCCTGCCTTCATGCCATCAGCTGGGGTTCAGAGCCTCTCTGCAGCTCTGAACAAGTGATAACGTATTGTCAGCAATCATGTTCCCTCCTCAAGGCCTCAAGCTTCCCTTATCGTCCTACAGGATTCTTCATGCCTCTGAATAAGTGAACGCTCTCAGCTCGGATTAGTTGCTTAATCAAAGAATGATTTCTTAAATATAATGTGAACTTTTAAAACTTATAAGTTAAATAATCATTAAATAAACATTGTTTATTGTCACTTATAATTATTATAATATGAATGAAATGCTTTCATGAATCTGTGCTTGAATGACTGAAGTTTGAAATGAATGTTATGTTATGATTACACTGATTTATATATGGATGAGTAATGTTGATATGACAAGGCCATCACCATTTACACTCACACAAGGACAAGGTAAAGTTAAGTCAAACGCGTGACACATAGATATTTCTTTACCCCAGATCAGAGTATCCGGTATCTGAAAGAAAGCGTGTTTTCTGAGGTTGTCTTGGAAACATTCCTCATCATGTCAATCTCCGATTGGCCACACAAATCATAACATGAGAATATTAAAACAGAATCACTCTGGTGATTCAGCAGTTGCAGTTCCAGTTCCCGCTCTCATCACTCAGCATTCAGTTCTAGAGGAAGCTACGGAAACGGCCGTCCGTAGTGAATTCTCTTTCACTAAGAAACAGCCTTGACACGTCGTCAAGGTTGTTGCTAAGCTGACACAGCAAACGGTTCCTGCAGAGTCGGTGCTACGGTATTCTACAGCCCTTGGTGCTAAGAGGTCATCCGAACTCTCTGACCTTCGGATCCACCAAGAGGGTCTCCGAGAACGGGTGAAGTAGACACACAGATAGCGTCTGATTTTTTTTAATGAGAATCAACTTCATAGCTTAACTCAAACCAAATTCATTTACACCCAGAACTCAGCTTCCCTAGATACAGAAGTTTTGATAACATTGCATTCACATATAGGCACCATATACCATCTTCTCCATCTAGATTCATCCATCACAGTAAATATTAGTTAACTTGTCATGTTTTAATTGTTTGGGAAATAAATTCTTACTTTTACAAACCTGACCCTTTCTTGAATCTAAACGAAGTGTTTACAATCCCTGAATAAAACAAACAATCCTACAATCTTCTGATTAATCATACAAAGACCAAGCAGGCTGATATTCTATGTTTATATAGAGTATCACAGCTTATTGGTCATAAGTAGAGGTAATATATTGAGCTCTTAAAGCACTCAATTTACCAAATCCTACAGTAACACATTTAAAAAAACACTGCAATAATACTGAAAACCGTGACCTGTACTGGGTGATGTGTGTTCCTGCGACAGTGCACACACATTACATCAGGCAGTCTTGATTTTCTCTACACAACACCAGCTGATCTGCGAATGTAAAAAAGAAACGAGAAGACAGCTCACACCGCAGCTCCGGGACACTGTGAAACCCGATGTTTGCAAACAGAGTCATCCAGTGTGATAAATGTTGCTATCTTGTCTGTGATCTATCCAGTCTCCTCCACCTGATTCTGATCATTCGAAAAATCTCACAATCCGATCGAAGCATCCCTAGTTTTAGTTTTAATTTTTGTGTTAGCTGCTGTTGGGTAAAAGAGTCATCCATCTTGAATCTTGACTCCAAAGGTTACAGTTTTAGATGAGCATCCGCTGGTTAGTTGCTGAGAGTTACATTTAAGTCCATTAGTGGTTTGGGAGATATTTTGCTAGCAAACCAAAAAAAAACATTCAGGTAAAAACGTTATCTTATGCGTTTTGGTGACTGAACCCAAATCTGACACATGGTGACTTTTAACAACAAAAAGGACAAAGGGAAAAGGTTTCAATGTTATCCAATATGTTGCTGCATTTAATGAGTTGACACAGACATCTCCGGAGGGGAAGTGACATTCCAGGCGGACGGTGTGACAGATCACGTACACTGACTGATGGCATAAGTGAAAACAGATGTGAATATTGACAGAAAGCAACTGGAACATTTCATTTTCTGATGCAGCCTGGTCTGCAGATGGGTGGCTAAACAATTATACACGTTCACACATTCAAGTGTGTGAGTGTTCGTGTCCATTTAATGTGTGAACACGAGTGCAAAAAGCAGAAGTTTGTTTGACGTTAGTCCTTCCTGTTTGTATCCAATAACAACTGCGACCACAAGAGCTGTGACGGCTAATTCACTGGGAAATGCTGAAGATTAAAACTGGGTAATAAACCAGAAAAAGATACCAAACTCTAGCAGAAAGTTTTAGATTTTTTACTGATATTGTGTCAGGAAAATTAGATATCTCTGCCCAGATTTAGTAATCCTTTTTAAAAGACTGAAGCAATGTTTGATTCCACTGTATCTGAGATGGTTGTAGACAAAAATAAACACATGAAATCCACCATCACTGCTGCAAATATGCAAACTAAGTTACAATGACATTTAAATTTCTCTTTGACAGCATTAACCCGCTTATCCCTTCACAAACACGCAAATGCACAACCCCCTGCGTGCATTGACTTCTTTTAACCCGACTATCTCACCGGCAACAACAAGCGTGTGTCTAAAAGGTGTGTGTCTGTGTCAAACACGCTGTTGTGAGTCCACTTACTGACAGAAAGACAGCAGAGACAGCAGGGTCTCTTTGGTGGGGTGGGCTGTGAACTCCGGCAGCGTCTGGATCAGTTTGTTCATCACCGTGCGAAGGTAGCCCTGCAGCTGCTTTCTCCGTTCCTCCACAAACTTGGCATCCTGCAGACAAACGGAGAAGTTTAAAAACATGTCAAGGTTAAAGATAAAACATGGAATGTTCAAAGCAATGGACTGAGGTTACAGACCAAACATTTTTGAGGACCAACAATGCATTTTTAGGGCAAGATTTTGCATTGCACCACTGATGGAGTGTATGAATCAGACCCACTTTCACAGAGCCACTCTGGAGGCAGAGGCGAAGAGCCACATGGCTACTGTTGGCATGGCTAATCAGCATCTACCACGGCTCTGAACAAAGGCCGGGCAACGCTCCGCTTTACTCTCTGGAGCTTGGCGCTGGAACAAACGGCCATCATGGGAAGCCAACATCCTGTTTTAAAATACTGCCTCCTTTTTGATCCGAGACCCAGGTGAATTTGATGCGTTTTGCCCTAAAAAAGACATTTAATTCCTTTTTGCTTGACAATAATTACCAGTTTGTAAGGCTAAGGCTCAACCATGGGACAATAACAGCTCATTTAATCTTCTCAAACAAACAATGCGATCCTAACTACTCTTTAAAAAATACATCACGATGGAAGCACTGATAACTGATGGCTAACTCATTTTTACCAAAGCACAAGGTAATTACTGCATGTTGATTGAATTTTTAACATCTGAAATCCAGAGGGAGTTTGCACAATTGTTTTCAAAGTTAAACTGAACTAGCAGTGACATTCACACTTGAGCTCCCAACAATACATTTAGAAATAATTAAACAGGAAAATAATTCATTAGCCCTGAAGCTGACACTGGTTTAACAAGTGGGGCTCAATGTTTTCAGCTGAAACAAGTCCTAGTGTGTCCATAGAGAGCAAGGTGTGTGAGAGACGTTCAGTGTGCTTTTGTGTATAAAGTCTAACCAAATGAAGAAACGCTGATCCTTAATTTTCAGTTAGAAAATGCTACTGCTATTGCTCAGCATCACACATAATACCAGGTAACGTAACTGAAAGCTTCTGATCTTAATAGCAGTCAAACAAACACGACTTATGGCTATCTTCGAGTGTGTATTCTTTATGACTCTCTGCCACATAAAGTTGTTTTATAAATTTTATATCTGTTAATGATTTCAAATATTGTTTAGCAGTTGCAGCCATGGTGAAAGAGTTGAATCCAAGAGTGGATCAGTTGTAGATGTAGCTCCATTTTTATTTCTATGAGCTATTTCGAAAATGTCAAAAATTAAGATGGTGAAATTACTTTATGTGAGAGGGATTTTGTGCAAAGAACTTCATAAACATATTTTGTAAAAATCATAGAAATATGATCTTTTTTTTAAAGCTATAATATGTCCCCTTTACAGTCCAGCAGTTTGTGAGACATTTGGCAAACATAGAAAGAAACATTTGACTCCAATAATTATTGGTTAAAGGTGGGATTCACTGAAAACCCATTTTTTTATGATTACTTCTGATTATAATCGGTCATTCTGAGTTTTTCATGCAGGCTGAACATGAAAATACACTCCCTGGCCACTTTATTGGGTACACCTGTCCAACTGCTCATTATCGCAAATTACTAATCAGCCATTTAGGCATGTTGACATGGTCAAGACGATTCACTGCAGTTCAAACTGAGCTTCAGAATGGGGAAGAAACGTGATTTAAGTGACTTTGAACGTGGCATGGTTGTTGGTGCCAGACGGGCTGGTCTGAGTATTTCAGAAACTATTAATCTTCTGGGATTGTCATGCACAACCATCTCTAAGGTTTACAGAGAATGGTCCAAAAAAGGGAAAACATCCAGTTTAGTGGGTGAAAATGCCTTGCTGATGCCTAAGGTAGGAGGAGAATAGCCAGACTGGTTCGAGCTGATAGAAATGCAACAATAACGCAAATAACCACTCATTACAACCAACGTATGCAGAAGAGCATCTCTGAACGCACAACATGTCGAACATCGAGGCAGATGGGCTACAGCAGCAGAAGACCACACCGGGTCTCACTCCTGTTAGCTGAAAACAGGAAACTGAGGCTACAATTCACACAGGCTCACCAAAATTGGACAATAGAAGATTGGAAAAATGTTGCCTGGTCTGATGAGTCTCCATTTCTGCTGCAAAACTGGATCAGAATTTGGTGTCAGCAACATGAAAGCATGGATCCATCCTGCCTTGTATCAATGGTTCAGGCTGGTGGTGGTGGTGTTATGGTGCGGGGGATGTTTTCTTGGCACATTTTGGGCCCCTTAGTACTAATAGATCATCGTGACTACGCCACAGTGTACCTGAGTATTGTTGCTGACCATGTCCATCCCTTTATAACCACAGTGTACCCCATCTTCTGATGGCTACTTCCAGCAGCATAATGCACCATGTCATGAAACTCGAATCATCTCAAACTGGTTTCTTGAACATGACAATGAGTACATTGTATTCAAATGGCCTCCACAGTTCCCAGATCCCAATCCAAAAGAGCACCTTTGGGGTGTGGTGGAATGGTAGATTCGGATCGTGGACCTGCAACCGACAAATCTGCAAAAACTGCGTGATGCTATCATGTCAAAGTGGACCTAAATCTCTGAGGAATGTTTCCAGTACCTTCTTGAATCTATGCCATGAAGGATTAAGGCAGTTCTGAAGGAAAAGGGGGGTCCAACCCGGTATTAGCAAGGTGTACCCAATAAAGAGGCCAGTGAGCGTAGTCTCATATGCCTATCTCCTGCATTAGCTTCTGATAGAAAATAGATGAGACACTAGGATTAGAAAAGCCTGACAGATCTACGTCAACCTGTCACTTCACATTCATGGACTCACCAATCTTGACTGATGACGGGGAAGGCTGTTTTTGTTTTAGAGTTCAAAAAGCAGCAACAAATGTCCCGACAAGTTTATAGGGATGTCCCGTTCCACTATCGAATTCGGAAATTATTTGATAACGGCCCAAAAACAATGTTGAACGGCATTAAAAGTCTTTGATATAATCAGTCCGTTAAGGTTCATTTTTTTCACACTTACCGTTATTGGCTCGCTCTCCGACTGAGTAATATCATTTGATCAAACCTTTCATAAATTCTACACTCTGAAAAAAATTAATGTATTTATGATTTGTGCTGATATCGTATCAGATTGATATCGGTATTGGTCAATACTGAAGGCTGCAATATCGGTATTGTATCGAAAGTGAAAAAGTTGTATCGGGACATCCCTACAAGTTTAAGCTAACAGTTAGCATTAGGATCTTCACCACACAGCAAAAGCTCCTCCAGACTTATTTGTGGAGATAAATCACAGGTTTGCAAAGCAAACGCAGTCAGTGCTAGAGTTGTGTTGCTGTTTGCCAATCAAAAACCTGTCGTCTGAAGCTCAGCTGTGTTGTGGGTAACTGGTAGTTCCTGAAAATGGTACACTGGTAACACCCGCAAGAAATCTATAGAGAAATTATACACATATATCCTCTCTAGACTGTGAATACCTTGGGATGTTTGAAAATGATGGATACTTGTGGTCAAACACAGGTTAAAAACCATGACCAAAGAAAAATGCCATTTTTACTGAAAAAAATAAACTGTCAGTTACAATATTTTCTACTTAAAATTAAAGGCAACCCTCAATCAAGATACTGCAGAACTCCTTTGCTGAGTTAGTACTTGTGTGTCCACACAGATCTGTTTGGAGAAAAGTGGCGAGAAAAGTTTCCACAGACCCATCTTCACATACAAAAACAAAGAAGCTGACTTTGTCAGCAGATTTCTACCTCCTTCTGGGCACATTTTGCCCATGTGAGCAAAAACTTAGTAGATGACATACAGCAGAGTGGCCACAGAGAACTTCATATGTGAAATAAGAGAAATGAGATAAGAGGCTCTCTGAAGTGCAATAGTACCCAGGTTTAAGAGAATGTAAGTGAATGACTGCACTCTGCTGCCTGCTGGGTAAAACCGACGGATCAATCTGATGTGCCATATTATGCCATGGATGTCTGTGTTGGGTTTGAGCTATGCCAACACAAAAACAGGGACAGTGGAAATGCTGTCATGGATTTCGGAGTAGCAATGACACTAGTGAAGACAGCAAGGAGGAGTGAGGAGCCTAGGTGTTGTTAGAGAAGAACCTACTGTGGCATGTTAATACTTGTGCCATGGTTCATCACTACTACATTCCAGATGCTTTTCCTAGAAGTTTAGTAAGCAGATGCTAAATGTTTAGTTGAAATCTTTGGTCCACCTTGAGGAAACTGTTCTTGACTCAGTTGACCTGTGTTCAGCCTGAATACAGGCACAGTCCATTTGTTTCAACTTCCTAGAAACGTTTTTGCCATACAAACCATTCTATCTCCTCTGAAGCTGATGAAGACAGGTGTCAGTGTGTCTACGGTCTTCTGATTCACTGACAATCTGTCCAAAAGACCTCACTTTATGTACCTGAGGTGCACCCTGTCTGAAGTGATAGTTAGCAGCACTGGAGCAGCACCAGAGCATGACGTCTTGTCTTCATTCCCGTTTGCTCTGTAGACATCAGATTTCCAATATGGCTCAGAGGTATTCCTCCTGGACATGTTCTCTAATGACTGCTGTAAAATAGGCAGGCACTAGAGGAAGATTTAGTTGGAAGATCGAGCAGAAATCATGCCTATGAGACTGAGATGGCCAGCTTCAGGAAGACAAGAACAGAGATAAATCCCAGAACCATAAAAAGTGAGGAGGTTATTCAGTTCACATGAGTGACAGGGTGAAGCAGAAGTTTAACACGGTCATTGATTGTAAAAAGAGAATCAACAGACTTTAATTTTTGGAGATGGTTACACTATTCAAGATACTGATAGTCTTCTATCAATATTTGATGGCAACCATCACCTACTTCTTTAAATCTCAGTGGGACATCTGACAGGACTGAGCCACACCGGCCACTTCCTACTCTGCAGTGGTAGGCAGTCAGGGCCAGCAAAGCCTTCTCTGCTGGCCTAAACGTACTCAGAAGCATAAATGTTTTTTTTTCCTTTGGTAAATATTTTTAAATAAAAAAATGTTTACTGATCTATTTTCTTCATATCCTATTA